AAATGGGCTGATGGAGGCAGAATTGCCTACTCCCTCCTCCACACAGATCCTCCTCCAGCCCCCTGGAAATGCTTTGCAGAGGGCCAGGGGAACCATGTTGCTGGTGGGCACGACGGGAAGGAATCTCATAAAATTAGGGTGGTGGTGTCTTCTGCGAATGGAAACACAAGACAGCTACACAAGACAGGTCCTGCACCTAAAACTAGATCCAATCATGTGCATATATGAGAGATGGTTATTTATTTACATCATATTTCTACCGTATTTCAGACAAAAAAGGCTCTCAGAACATAGATTTATCAGATTAAAAAAACAAACAAACAAAGCTTATTTAAAAGAATGACCAAGCGAAATCTTAGGACAGTTATCTGATTCATTCCTAGTGTGAAAAAAATCACATTATTAGCACCTTTAGGAACTGAAAGTTTAGTTTAGCAGAGGTGGAAACTGACTTTGACTTTTTGATGCTCATCCTCTCACCTTTATGACTGTGCTAATTGAGACATTATGGCACCTGATAGGACAGCATTGGAGAAGCATCTGCTCCCATTTCCACATGAGGTTTATGTTGTTTGATAAAATATATAGGCCATTTGTTCCTTCCACTGCCAAACTGTCATTTTTCCTCTTCAGCACTAAATCTACTTTTTAAAATTAAAAAGAGTTTTATTGCTTTTAACCATGATCTTTTATGATGGAAAGCAGCCAAGGAAAACTGACTGATGCATCAAAATGGCATTTCTATTTTGCATAAAGCAAGGCCGCAAAATATGAGCACATGTGTTCTCTCTCTCTCTCTCACTCCCCCCCCGGGGGGGGGGGGTGAAAATGCTTGAAATGGATCGATCTGAGTCAAGAAATAGTCCTGATGAGTAGAAAAAGCAGCTGAAGCTAGAAATAAATCCTTTTGTGACAAGACGAGGGATTATAGGATTAACTTCACATGTTTTGGATCTGAAACCATTTTTGTTTTAGATCATTACAAGCCTTTTATGGACTAATTGAGTGGGGAGGAGAAGAGCTGTAGCTGATTTCCCCCCTTTAAACCATGATTAACCTAGTTTTGTCTAAGAAACAATGGATCAAAATTACAGCCTCAGTCACACTTGTGAAATCCACTGCTTTTTTCTTTGTTGGGTCCTCATGAGCATTAGAAATCTATAATCAAAAGTTGATTTGCCATTGAAAAAGGTGGGATGAGGAGTATTATGGAGGATGTGGTATGCTAATCAGACGCAGGCATGCAAATGACGCTTAGGTTCCCTAGGCTTCCAGCCATTAAGAAACAGGCCTTGTTCAGAACTTAAATGAATGGCCTTATGCATCCAAAATACCACAGGCCACACAAGAAAAACAGGCTTGTCCTCACCCAAGCAGGCAGAAAACCCAGAAGGCTTTCATCATTCACAGCTGTCAATGTTGTTTCGGACTTGGAGAGTCGCAAGTTCTGTAGCCCTGCATCAAAGTCAGTCCTTCTACTCTGGGATATAAGGGAGTACATTTAAGAATTCTACTTCCTATCCCTCTTGAATTACTGCAGTCATGGCCAAGTCAACATGGTCTTAATTGCAGCATTGCAATTAGCACACCTGCTTCTTAACATTAAACAGCAGCTACCAGAGTGAGGAAGCTGATTGGTATCAGGACTACAGCATATGGGAGGTGGGTCAATCCTTTCCCCCAGGCCTTGGTCCTGGTGAGAGTGCCAACATCACCAGCTGTGAACTGCTCCAAGATTCCAGGGGCACCCGCAGGTGCTTCTGTGCTGCTCCACATGAGGCATCCTTTGTGAACCTGTGATTCCTCATTTATGCAAGCTTGTGGTGCCTTTTCATGATGTCCTCATCCCCTAGGACCTCTCCTGGGTTTTCCTTCCATTTTGGCAGCTGTTCTGCAAACAAGGAAGGCCTGAGATTTTCTGAGGTGGCACCATTATTTGCTACAGAAACCTAGTGTATTTTCTGCAATTCTGCTCTGTATCACAGCCCCACTTGTGTTGCGCAATGGAACATATAGAAATATATAGAAAGGCAGAGAAAAAAACACTGGGAAAAAAGACACTTGAAGGCCATGCTAATCCTCCCACACAGAAAAGCACTGTGATAGGTGTTGTGCAGAAAATCCCTCTGGCACAAAAGAAATATCAACAAGGGGTAGGATTTTCATTGGCATCTATTGTTTCCATGCATAAGCTTAACCTTGAGGAGACACCTTTCCTCCCATTTAGATGAACTGCAATCACACAATCAATATCATGCCTAGTTTGGTGTTCAATCAGCCATGTGTACTTAAGTTTACTGATATGGTGAGACTGGAGTGACAGGAAGGCAAACAAATGGGTCCTAGATCAACTCAATCCAGAACGTCCTCTAGAAGCAAAAATGACACAACTGCAGCTGTCATCCTTTGGGCACATCATGAAAAGGCAAGACTCCCTGGAGAAGACAATCATGCTAGGGAATGTAGAAGAAGAAAAGGAAGGCTAAATATGAGACTCCATTAAGAAGGCCACAGACTTGAATTTGGAAGAGCTGAGCAAGGCTATCATGGATAGGAAGTTCTGAAGCGCTTTCATACATAGGGTCATTATAAATGGTGGTAATTAATTGATGGTGCATAACAAAAAAGGCTTGATATATCTGGACAGTTCCTGATTCTAAGGACGACTTTTTGGGAGTTGAATTACATGGGGTAGGTAAGGCCTCTGAATGCACATACAGGCATGCCTCATTTTATTGCACTTCCCAGATATTGTGCTTTTTACAACTGAAGGTTTGTGGCAATCCTGTGTTGAGCCAGTTGACAACTTTGGTGCACCTGCAAATGGGGTATTGTGTTCAGTTCTGGGCTCCACATTACAGGAAGGATATATCTAGGTGAGAATCGGTTCAGTGTAGGGCCACAGGGAAAGGTGTATGAGACGAGACTGAGGGAACTGGGTCTTTTCAGCCTGGAGAAGAGAAAACTCTGGGGAGATCTGTTGGCGACATATAAGTACATGAGGGGTGTCACACGGAGGTAGGTGGACACTTGTTTTCTGCTGTAGAGGAAGACAGGATGCGTTCCAATGGTGCAAAGGTTCAGTTTGGATGCCAGGAAGTACTTCCTGACAGTTAGGACCCCGAGGGTATGGAATGGGCTTCCACAGGAGGCCCTTTGAAGCCCCATCGGTGAGGGTGTTAGCATCGGATAGGCTGGACATGCACATGGTAGGCATGTCATGAGTGGAGCTAGCTAGAGCTGGGGTCAGATTAGATGGCCTGAGAGACCCCTTCTGACTAACTCTGTTTCTATGTTTCTGTTTTTATCAGTGCCATTTTCCAACAGCATTTTCTCACTACATGTCTCTGTGTCACATTTTGATAATTCTCATAATATTTCAAACATTTTCATTATGATATATTTGTTATGATCTTTAATATTACTATTGTAATTGTTTTGGGGTGGTACAAACTGCACCCAGATAAGATTTCAAACTTAATTGATAAGCAGTGCTTTTTTTGTAAAAAAAAAAAAAAAAGGTACCGGAACTCACGTCCCTGCTGGCAGTAAGCACACACACCAATCCCAAGCCGAGCAGCAGAGCAGCATCCCAAGCAGCCATCTCTCACTATCAGATATCAGATAGCAGACACAATAGCAGCCTGCAGGCACTATGTTAATGATGTTTGCTGCTGATCTGCCATGCCATTCAAAATCACTTCATAAAATCCATTGGAAAAAAAGGTGCCGGAACACCGTTTGGTGCATTCTGGGACAAAAAAAGCCCTGTTGATAAGTATTGTATGTGTTCTGACTGCTTCACCAACCAGCCATTTTCCCATCTCTCTCCCTCTCCTCAGGCCTCTCTATTTCCTGAGACACATCAATATTGAAATTAGACCAGTTAACAACCCTACAATGGCCCTGAACACGAAGTAAAAGGAAGAGTTGTACAACTATCACTTTAAATAAAAAGCTAGAAATGATTAAGCTTAGTGACGAAGGCATCATGAGAGCCAAGAAAGGCCCAAAGCTAGGCCTCTTGCACCAAACCGTTAGGCAAGTCGTGAACTTTTACATGGACTGGGAAACCAAAAAAATCCATGTGACTTGTTTTATTGTGATATTCACTTTATTTCAGTGGTTTGGAAGTGAACCCCACAATATCTCAAAAGTATGCCTGTATACACAAGAAAATTAAAGCCAAGATAGACCAAGGTAGACCATAACTGAGAAAGAATTCATTGTATAGTACAAGAAGAGTCACACAGTTACATATACAAAGTGCAAGTTAAAAAGTGAGGCAAGTGGACATGAATATCTGCTCTATGAGAGAGCAACCGTAAACATCATAGATTTTCCTAGCTAACCTCGGAAAATCATCTCACATTATGTCCAACTGTTCTGCTGGTTATATGAACAGAGGAGTTGGCCCAGCACTGTCACTACTGAGTGGCGGTGGATCTCCAGGCAATGCTCTTTCTCAGTCCTGCCTAGAGATAATGGGATTGAGCCTGTGATCTTCTGCCACCAAAGCACCTGCTCTGCCACCGAGTCACAGCCTGGACTTGAGCCAAGTGCAATTCAGTATGTGAAAATGCCTGAGCCGTTGACACTCGTCACCACCACCGGCAAGCCAGGGATGTAAGCATTCTCTTAGATCTGCTCTGTCTGTGTTTTGAGGATTGTCAGGCACCTTTTCGTCCATCATCCACTAATGACAGAACTGGAGATTTCTTTGTGTTTCAAATGCACATTAGTGTGATTGCGTATTTGTGCTATTCCCCTAGTTCCCATTTTTAAAATGATCCAGAAGTCTCAGAAAATGTTGGTCCATGGAGGAATTTGGAAGTTGGCTTCCTATGACTCCAAATTTATTTGAATTGCAAATTTCTACAGGATCCTTACTGCTAGCACAGTAAGCACAATTATGTAACCAACTGCTAGCTATCTGATACGGCTGATTCACTAGGAATGATGCAACTCACCAAATAACTTATGTGACTCTTTAGGCTTACCTGCTTGTGAGCATGATCATAGGAATTGATGTGGTTGTCAAACTCATGGTGCTTATGGTACTGCTTGTCACATAATTCACAGTAGAAGTTAGCCTTCACATCCTCCAGAGCTTTTGCAGCTGCCTTCTCCTTTTCAGCAAAGTCCTACAAGGGCAAAGGCAGATGAGACCTCATTACTAACATTATTGCTGATTTCCCCCTATTGCAATATCTTATGACTTTGAGGGCCAGCTCTTCCGTTAGGCAGAGTGAGACAAACTCCTCAGGCAGCTGATTTTTGGTGTCACAAAAAGGGAGCATATTGTTGGCTATTTCGTTGCTGTAATTATTGCATTTTCCCTCCCAGGAAAAGACACTTGTATGATTTTCTGTTCCAGGTGCCATAATAACTTGGCCAACTCCTGCTGCTACCTTGACTTGGAGAGGGGCAATCCAGTTTTGCCTGATGCAGCAAAATGTCTTGCGCCAGTCCTGGTCTTAAGTAAAAGATTTCAAGACAGCCAAGCAAGATGAACAGCTCAAGATAGATGGATAAGTCACTGCTCCAAAAATTCACCATAGTGATACAGAAATGCTTTTAAGGTAGGCCTTTGATCTGAAGCAACTGATGCGAGCTTTTAGTGGACAGAAGTCTTTGCAGGCAGATTAAAGAAACATTTACCCTACGGACTAATCACTCCTTCAGCTGTACTTAAATGCTGCACTTGACAAGGCAAAAGTACAAGCACAAAGAAAGAGAAACATTAAAATGACAAGATGTTCCCGTACAATGATTATGGCCTCTAATCCCCTTATCAATGCATTGTACAGTTAAGAGCAATAAAATGAATGAATGTGTACATGCTAGGGGCATATGCTAACACTCTCAGGAGTGTAATCTTGCCAATGAGCACTGACTTATCCTTGCTTTCAGCAATCATATACTGGAAGTTGATTTTGAAAAAGAACACCACCAAGGAAATTCCTGGATATCCAGCTGGAACAAGAAATCTAGGGCACCACAAGGCACAAAACGAAGAGATTGACTCGTTGTTGCCAACGAAAATGGGTGCACCAGCCGTAATTCTTTTAAGATATGAAGCTGGCAGGGAGTACACATTCTTATTTAATCAATAATATGATTTAAAACCACTGAGTACAATCCAGTGAAAGTTTGTCATGCTGGCGGTTGCAATTCTATATAGATTTACTTGAGTGTAAGCTTATTGAATTCAGTGACTGAACTCCTTTTCTTGGTTTAAGCTCTTCCCTAAGTTTTGTTGACTTAGTTAAATCTACCTTTTGCTTTATTGTGTCAAAACATTTAATTTCATGGTGATTTTATATTTTAAACATTTCTATCTGGCTCTATCAAGGGAAAAGAAAAACCTCGAGAGTGGCAAATGCATATGTTTATAATGCCGCAACAATGTACAAAAGGACCAGAGTAAAACCGGAGCAGCAGAGAGATGATAGAAATTAGGTTAAAAACAGAGCTTTAAAAATACAACTAAAATGGTAGAACCAAGTGTTGGAAAGCACTTTTTAGGCCATGTAGATGAATCTCCCTGCTTGATACAAAAATTTTACAGTTGGCAAGGGAAAGACTACCAGCTCTTTAGGCAATTGGTTCCATTGTCTAATTATGCTTAAGAGGTATGTTCTCCCCAAGGGATATATTCTCATTTTCAATGAAAATATATCCTCATGTAACTTAAAGTCATAACATCCAATCCTGCCTTCTGTTGCAGCAGAAAAGAGCTTTTGGTCTTCTTTGAGGTGATATTTGAAGGGTACTTTCATATGATTTCTCAGTCTTTTCTTTTACAGGCTAAACATCTCTGGCGTCCTTTAACCCATTTTTGATCATCATCAATGAACCTATTCCAGGTTGCCTACCTCCTTCTTATAGTGTGCTACAAGAACTAGCATGTATATATGTATGTATTTAATGAATTTATATGCTGCTACAATAGCTCATATCTGGGCTGTCTGCATGACTCACAATATAAAAACAACACAACATTCTAAAATCAATTAGAATAACATTAAATCAACATATTCATAATATACTCACAACATAATCCAAATATAGAAGATATATAAAATTAACATTAACATTAAATAAAACATTTTAATCTAAATTGACTAAAACCAAACATGGAATTGATTTTAAAACCAGATAGTCATTAAAATCCATTGTTAAAATAACTAGAGAAAAAGTGAGTTTTTGCCTGGTGCCAGAATGCTGGCAGCATCTTTGCCAGGCACACCTCTGAGGAAGCTATTCCGGGGGGGGGGGGGGGGGG